ATTTATGACAACAAATAGTTGATTTATAATTCATTTTTTTTTTTGGAAGTTTTCATAATTTACATATGAGTTAAAATTTACTTTTCAAGTTGCTCTCGAAGTAAAAATAGACCATAAAATATTCCCTCGTGATTTCATAAAACTTGTTATCAAACTATGAAAATAATGTTAGGTTGACTTGCAATAATCGGTCTTCTCACATACTTTTGTTTCGATAATTTACTATTAAATTATTTTAGATTAGTTGGACTAAATTTTAAATTTTCCCTACATAAATCAAACTGAGGAATACCTAAAAAAATATCTCATTACAACTTCAATACTACACTATGTGACGTAAACGAGTCGAGTCGAGCTCAAACTTGTGGTGCTTGCACTACAACAAAAAAATGTTCTAACAACATAAATATGGTGACTTTTTTTAATGAGTGTAATTAAAACTAAAGTATTTGTGACATGTTTTAAAAAGGGTAACAAGGATAAAATTATAACAACACTTTAAAAAATGTCATCAAATCATGTCACTTTTTAAATAGTGTCACCGTATTGACCAATATTGAGACATTTATTTAAAAGTGTAAATAAATTATAGCGTTCTATACAAAAGTGTCATCATGTTTAGTTATATGGCGACACATTTTAAAAGTTGCACTAAAATAATGTTACATTAATAAAAAATGTCATAGTTTTCACAAATTTGCCAACATTTACCTCAGATTGTTGTCGCTATTTTTAAGCATATAACAACACTTAAAAAAATTAATTATTATTTAATGACATTATTAAACAAGTGTCACATTATTTTATAACATGGTGACATTATTTTAAAAATTATTGAATTATGACGATTATATAGAAGTCTTGTTCTTTTATCTACATGGAAACACTTTTATGAAATACATAGCTGTATATTATCGATTTTGAAAATGGGTCGCTTTATTTACCAACAAAAAGTTAGTAGCTCTTTTAAAAAAATTAACTAAAATTAAATAATTTTTACCTTGTTTAAATAGTGTTTAAAATTAAAATGATAATGTAATGAAATATTTTAAATATTATAATTGTATAATGACCGTTTTACAAGATGTCATAGTAATAATTAACATGACGTTATTTATTTAAAATTACAATTAAATTATGACTCATATACAAAAGTATCGACTTCTTTTAATCCTATAAAAATAAATTTTTTAAAAGTACTTTTAATAAAGTCACTTTTTTTTTTTAATAAAGTCATTTTTAACGTTATCGTTTTTACAAAAATTACATATAACTTAATCCAAGTAACTAAGTTTGTTAACGAACTGAACATCGCGCCAAAAGCTTTTCCGAGCTCGTTCGTGTTCAATAAAAGTACGGATGACAAAAAGACTCATCTTCGTATTGATCGATCCGCCCCAGAGCATTTGGGATAGGTCAAAGCCGCCCCGAAGCATTTGGGATTGGTCAAAGCCGCCCCGTTTCAAGACAAGTCGGGCCAGGTCCGTCCCGTTTGCTGAGCGGGCCAAGTTCGAGCCTTAGATCCCACCCTGGCCTGGCTGCTCAATGAGCTCAATGAGCTCGAGTTCGAGCCCTTAACAAGTTGAACCTAACTTGTTTATCAATATTGACGAACAACTAACTTGTTTATCAATATTAACGAACTGAGCTCACGTCTTAATCAGTTGAACTAGAAAAAATTATGCAATCTCATATTATGAAAACAAAGCTCACTTTCTATGTGCTAACCAAGGAAATAAATAGCTCGCTAAAGTAGCCGCTATTTGAGAAATAGCTTTTTTTGGCAGCGTGCCGCTATTTGTATTCATGTGCAATTTAGCAGCTAAATCCCGCTAAATCTCCGCTATAGCTCCGCTATAGCTACAGTGCCATAAACGTTTTAGCCCGCTATTTAAAACCTTGGTGCTAACACACACTTATCCCAAATGTGGTAAAAATAAATAAATAAAAAAGTATAATTAAATTCCAACCTTTTTGAAAACAAACTGAAATTCAGATTAAATCCAGGGACGAATCTCTCTTAGGCTTGGGCTGGGATGAAGCCTAGGCCTATTAATTATTTTTAATACCTATTAGTTTGAAAATAAAAAAATTATTGTATTTTTAGCCCATTTCAATACATCGACCTATTAATCCACCAAAATAATTCACTTATATATTAAGCCCAAAAGACTACTAATATCACTCTAATAAATATTATATAGTTAATTTACCCTTTTCACTAGGCACTAGTCCAAACAACACTACTATACATCAAACTCCAATCAAATAAATTAGTCACGGCCATGTCTCTCCCCTGAACACCAAACAAAATTGAATTTAGAAGAATAAAAACAAGTAAATGAATAAATAAATAAAATTATTTAAAAATAAAGAGTCTAATTTCATAAAGACAAATTAATTTCTTATTTAATAAAAAGTTATATTTTTAAACCCTTTGTCAGATATTTATTTCATTTGTCTAATTTTCTTTATCTATCTTCTCATTTTAGTTGAGCTATTTACGATTTTAATTGTAATTGCTAGAATCATTTGGTTAAAATTCTTGTTTTGTTGATTGGGTATAAAGTTATAATTATGTGTGCGCGTATCTTTTTTTTTTTTTTTTTTAAATCTCATATCTTCTAGTGTGGTTGTTGTATATCATAGTTGGATATAACTTTAGGATATGTAGGCATTTATATTTTGCTAATAACTATTACATATGAAAATCTATTTACTTGTATTGTGGAATTTTTAGAAACCACAAGGAACTCCAACCTTCTAACAAAAAAGGAAAAACCTCATTGATATCATTGTTTCTTTAGAAAAATGTTCAAACTAGTCAAAACACATCAAATACGGTGCAGAATGAGTATAATATATTTTTTTTTTTATAGAAGCTCGTCGAATACAACTTCAGTGAATATTTGAAGAAAAAATATTATTGTAGTTTTTATAAAGATGAGCTTTTAAAACTCTGGCCAAAATCTATTCTTAATCTCTGGATCCATCCTTGATTAAATCTATAAAACATAATGTAAAAGTGAACGCTCTTCTGCCTACTTCTTTCTATCTATAGACTTCTCCTGCCTATGTGTAATAACATAAAAATATAGAAATGATTTAATATTCCTTATCTTCTTTTGGTGCAGCACTACTACCGTGTGTCTTGGCACACCTAGCAAAGTGTGCCAAGGCAGTTTAAAATGAACATGTTACTGTATAAAATGAACATGTGTAAATATGTTTACACATATTCATTTTATAAAGTAACATGTTCATTTTAAAAAAGTCTTGCCACACCTTACTAGGTGTGCCCTGTATTTACGCTTTTGGTGATAAGTCTTAAAAAGTTTATTAAGGTAGGTAAGTTTTGTTCATTGGTCTCTAAGATCTTTAGAATCATCAAACTCAACTCAAGGTACGACCGACTAACTCCCTATGTTAGGGAAGAAAACAAATAAAGATAATATTCAAACTTATTAAATCAGATAAAGAATATACCGAAAATAGAATTAAATAACTCAAGAGCTATTCAAATTATGCAAATAAATATTCTAACAATTTGCTTAATCCAAACCAAATCTATATACATGTATACCATTTATAACCTACTTTATATCTACTTTTATGATTCTCGGTTTAAAAATTTACGTGCATATATATTTTAATATTCACATAATTTGTTTTTAATTTTGAATAACGAACTAAATCTTAAAATGTAAAGAGGAAATAGTTATTTACACCCCGTTATGAAGACTGAATAAGTTTTTCACAGCGCTGAATTATAAGTTCATTTTTTTCATCACTTCAGAAAATGCAAAAGACATTATGCAATAATTATGCGGTAATTGTGAGAAAGTTAAAAATGCGAATGCATTCGCATAACCCTCACACTGTTTAGGGTAAATTAATATGCGACAATTATGAGATTGATATGTGACAGTTATGCGAATTATTCGCATAATCTTCGAAATTTTTGGAATGAAACCGTTAAATTGTCAGCGAGCGAGATGAAAAGCTTAATATATTTTCAGGCTGAGGTGTAGAAGAAACTATCACAAATTTAAATTTATATCAATGTCTTGTGACCA